TTTAAAATTGTGGTGGTAGGGACAGTGAGGTTTTGTGCAGAAAATAGTCCCTGGATATGAAGGCAATGGAAAATACTAGCAACCAATTCCTTTCTGTTGTACATAAATATGAAAGCAGGCAGATGGCATTGTTCCTGGCTGGATGTCAGTTCAGGAATTGAAAAAAATCTACTTTTATTCTTTCATCATGATGCTAAACCTTTTGTGATGCTTTGAGCAACTTACAGATTTTTCCTGAAAAGGATCTTCTTTCAGAAAACAACTGAAGATTGCTTCACTTTGGTGATGATGTTTTATGTTTTGTGGATTTTTAGTTTATTCTTTTGTAATAAATAGTATCAGTTTTCTTGTTGTGAATTTTCAACATCTACAAAAAGCAAAAAAAACCCCTAAACCTGCCCGAATGTTAAAAAAAAAAAAAAAAAAAAAAAAACAACAAAAAAAAAAAAAACCACAAAAAAATTTTAAAAAACAGACAAAAATAATAAAAAAAAAATCTTTTTTCTCACTTGTGAAGAGCACTACAAATAAAAAAACAAAACAAAATATATTACAAATCTACAAGGCCTACTGTCGTTATAAGTACACCGCTTGCAGTGTTTCAATGGACATGATTCACATTGCTGACCGCTTTTGGACTTCACAGTATCCAGTTAGAACTGTGGAATATTTTGCTTCTGGTTGAGCAGCAACCAGAGGAAACAAGGCCCTGCTGGTTTCCACCACGTGTCTGCTTTCTCACACACACATGCATCCACAAACACAAAAAGGGCTGAGGGGAATGCGAGGCAGTGTGGCTTGGATAGCGTGGAGTCCCTGCAGGGCGAGGAAAAAGAATCAGAGGTTCCTCACCTGGATTCTTCTCCATCCCACACTGTCCGGCGCATCCTCCCCGCTGCTTTTCTCATACCACCACCACCACCTTATAGCAGAAACCAAGAAGATACAGACAACGAGCAACGGTGGCTTTTTTGTAATTTATTCAGTGTCTTCGCTGAGCACAGGGCCTCAGCACAATCAAGAGGGACTTTCACAGAAGGCAAACAGAAACACAGAGGAAAATCAAAAATATCAGAGGTTGCAACCTATGGATCTAGGTACAAGAGAAGGGTTAGTTCCCACAATCTTTGCAAAAAAAAAAGTTTCATCAGGATTTATTCTTGTGGAAGAAAGAGGAATAGAGGGTGGGAGGGGAGGGGAATAATAAAAAAAAAAGAGTTGTTGGGACTTTTTTAATTCAAAATTTTATAGAGGGGCAAAAGTGACGTTTACCAGATAGAATGCTGATTTTTTTAATATATTTACAACAGTATTTGTGTAAAAAAACAAAAAAGTGAGATTGTTAAAAGTAATTTTTCTTTGTTTTCTTTTTTGTTTTGCATACACTGCCACTAATATCTTCTCTTTTATTATATATATGAATATATAAAAAAATATATATTTTATTTTAAATTGAGACTGTTAAGGTTAGCTAACCTGCTTCCAGATAGAGGGGGGGAGGAGAAATGATCTTGATTTTTATTTTAAAAAAGAGGAAGGATGTTTTCTTAATTTTCTCTTCTAGTATTATTCTCTCTGTTTTCTAATGGAATCAAGAATTACCTGGGTCGATGAGGGGCTCTGTGAAGTCATCTGTGAGATTATCTACTAGTGTTTGTGCATCCTGCAGTATCACTTGAACTGCTACTTTGTTTTTCTGAATTACACGGTTATCTTTTTGGCTCTTACCAAGCTTCTGTTGTTTCCTTTTTGGTTCTATCTCAGAATTTATTTCTGCTGAAGGACGTTTCCTTTTGAGAAAGAGATTTTTTTAGTAATGTTCCCTTGTTTTTGGGGATGATATAAACTGTAGTCTTTCTTCTTTGAAAAAGTAATGAAAGTTTTGAAGTGTGTAATAAATAGAATTTCCCTTCTTTTTGGTCACTGGACAAGAATTAATCTGCTGTATTGTTTTCTCATCCCTGCCTTGCTCACTAGAGAGCTTCCATATTTGTGTGGGAATCTGATCCTGCCCCCGATAATTTGTGCTGATGCCAAAACAACTTAAAACGTTACCATTGCAAATAATCTTCCCTTCATTTGCAAAAAGTCTGACTGAAGGGCCACATCCCACATTCTCTGCAAAGACAAAGCTATGAAAGGAATGTAGGATCAGTGTGAAAGATTGATTCCTAATCTGCATATATATGTTGGTGGTTTGTATTTTGTTTTATTGTGTTTGGACTGGTGTTCTCCCTAGTTGTCTTCTGTGTATCTATGTAAAAATTTTTCCCCCAAAGCCAATTCCCAAAGTACATGGGTCCTTAGTTCAGTTGGATCAGTGTTTGACACTATCTTTGTCTTGCTTGAAATCCATGTGAGGACTTACACCAACTGCACTCTGGACTTCATATTTTAGGCAGAGAAGAAGCACCTAACAAAAATATGCAAAAAGGAAAAAAAGAAAAATTGCTAGTTTAGCTTTTAATTGTGTCTATATTTAAATTAAGCTTTCTTAAGTTTACAAAACTTTTTGCTTGTGAACACTGAGCATTTCACATGAGACATTCTTTTATGCTGGACAACTTTCTGAGTATTGACTTTGTAGATCTCCATATACAATTTTGCATGTTCTTTACACCTGTGGCTTCTCTATCAGATGCCTGTGATTCAGTACAGGTAACTTCATCCATATGTTCTGTGCCTGTTCCATTGCCATTTATTTGGGGGAAAAAACCTGACAGGTGGTTCAGTCTCAGAATCTTCCAGTACCCTGCAAGGTACTGTTCAGCAGATCCTAAATGCTGAAGCCCAGATTCTTGGCTGCAATATGCAGCATAGAGAGACCTTGAGGTGAGTGCCAGAGCAATTGAATCTTTTATATGGTAATGTCTTTCTTTGTTACCAGCTTGTTTGGGTAGTTCAAGGGGCTAGAGAAGGAGCACAAGTTTGTTAACAAATATTGTTCTAATAACCTCACTGGTAAAAGCAATGCTGCCATGTAAATCAAGATGTGAAAAACACAGAGAGGGAAAACTAGAGCCTAGACAAAAGGATTTAAGGTTTTTCTTTGGGGAAAGGAGCATTTTTTTCTGAGCTCTTTGGTGTCAAAGAATATTCTCTCATATGAGGAACTAGTGAAGAATTTTTCCCAGCTTACAAATATGTAGCTGCTCATTTGTCATCTGAGGTCTGGGGAAAAGCTGTTTAATTTGCCATTGTAAACCTGGTGAACTGTAGTCAAGATGTAGCATATTCTGGAATGTACTTCTGATACCAGAAGAGACATGCCAGTAAACATGAAATAAGAATCAGGATCTACATCCACCAAAATCCAAATACTATCCAAATTTTAATCCTTCTGTTTTCATCCTTCCCTAAATCAAAGCATTATCTTTGAAATGCCAGTTTTTATGAAGTCTAATAAATTTGAAGTGAATTAAAGATAAGTTGTGAATGAATGAATGAATGAATAAATGAATGAATGATGCCAATTTTAAAAAAAATAAACATAGTTCTTAAAGTAAAGGCATACTAGATTGAATTCTAAAACACTTGTCAAAGAATTTAGGCCTAGGTCTTGACAAATGCCTGTCTGTAATATAAACTGATTTGTTGGACTTCCAGACTTGATCTTGTAAAACATGGAGGAACTTGGAGCATGACTGCAAATGTAGCTGAAAGTGCTTGTCAGGTCATTCTGAATTTAGAAGCTCAAACATAGTCTCCTTTATCTTTTAAAGTATTAAATTATTTTTGACAGTTCTTCCTCCCATCTTTGAAATACTTAGTTGCTACTTGTAAACAACTATAAAATCTGAATGTTACAGGTATATTCAAGCTTCAGATATTGCTACTATATGCCTTTGCAAAAAGAATAGAAGTCACAGTGATCTGGAAACTACTGCTGACAATGTTTGAGTAAATCTGTCTCAGTATGCTTGAAAGGCTTCCTTCAAAACACCTGATGAAATGATACAGATGAGAAAATGCAGACTGTAGCACACATCCTTTTGTTGAAGCATGCAATATCCTGCATTCCTTGAGCTTGATTCTCACTTTTGCTAAAGCTCTCTTTATATTGCTTTGGTCATGGAAAAGGCCATTAAATAGAACATAAATTCAAGCTTACAAGTCAAGGCCTCTCTGCAAGGCGCTAAAGTGCAATAAAGGAAGCCTTAGAGTGAATGAGAAGTGCCTTCTCTTACTGCTGCTGAGGCTGGTGAAGTGAATTGGAAATGTAGGACTGGCCAGAGCAGATCTCCCCTATGGTCCATCTTACCCAATACTACATCTCTGCCATTTGGCAAGCTAGAGACTATTTGAATGAAGATGAAAGGCCTATGTTGGATTATTACAAAGCAATAAGCCTGAGGGAGAAGATTTATTATGTAATCCTCGTTAGCTCTTTCTACATATAAAATACATATAAATTATTTGCCTATAACCTAAAGGCATAATAATTTATGACTTTATATTTTTATCCCATATAAAAATTATATATTGTGGCAGATAATTCTCATTGTTCTTCAAAGATCTAGCTTATTCATTTTTAGGTGGCCTCCATGCTGTCCTGTGGGAGTTCCTCCAGTTAATTACCACTTTGATGAAATTATTTTCTTTCAAATTTATTTTGTTGTTCATTGAAACACCCTTATTCTTGTACTATGTGAAATCACAAATGAGAGAACCAAAATTTAACTTCTCTTGCCTATTTTGCTGAGGTCTGTCTCTCTCTGGGAAGCTGAATCCACAAGGAATGCAGGACCACAAGCTCGGTGTCTGTTGATTAGCAAGGAGAGGACAGCTCCTGAGTGTGTCCATTTGTGTCTGGGGAGTGTGCATTAGCGAGGTTCTCCTATAGTGATCTCTTGCAGGGTACTTGCAGGCATGACTCATAAATAATGGAAACCTAGAAGCACAGTAA